GTCAAATTATCACTATTTGCAGATGATATGATATGATATGATATGATATGATATGATATGATAATATTTCTGAGTGACCACAAAAATTCTACCAGAAAGTTCCTACAGCTGATAAACACCTTCAGCAAAGTGTCTAGATACAAAATTAACTCAAAAAAATCAGTAGCCCTCCTGTATACAAAAGACAAAAGCGATGAGAAAGAAATTAGGGAAACAATACCCTTCACAATAGCCACAAAAGTTTTAAAGTACCCTTTGTGTGACACTAACCAAGAAATTCAAAGACTTGTATGAAAAAAAATGTTCAGTTCCTGAAGACAGTATTAGAAGAAGATATTAGAAGATGGAAAGATCTCCCATGCTCATGGCTTGGCAGGATTAACATAGTAAAAATAACCATCTCATCAAAAGCCATCTACAGATTCAATGCAAGTCCCATCCAAATACCAACACAACTCTTTACAGACTTTGAAAGAAAAATTCTCAACTTCATATAGAATAACAAGAAGTCCAGACTTGGTAAAACAGTCTTCTACAATAAAAGATCTTCTGGAGGTATCTCTATCCCTGATCTCAAACTGTACTATAGAGCAACAATATTAAAAACTCCATGGTACTGGCATAGAAACTGACTGGTGGATCAATGGAATCGAATAGAAGACACTAAAATAAACCCACACACTTATAGACATGTGATCTTTGACAAATATGCCAAAATCATACCCTGGAAAAAAGATAGCTTCTTCAACAAATGGTGCTAGTCTAACTGGATGTCTTAAGTAGAAAAATGCAAATAGATCCATACTTATCATCCTGCACCAAACTAAAGTCCAACTGGATCAAAGACCTCAATATAAAACCAGACACACTAAACCTGTTAGAAGAAAAAGTGGGGAAGAGCCTTGAACTCATTGGCACAGGAGACAACTTCCTGAAGAGAACACCAACAGCACAGGCACAATCAATAAATGGGACCTCATGAAACTGAAAAGCTTCTGTAAAGCAAAGGGTACTGTCATCAGAACAAAATGACTGCTTACAGATTGGGAAAGGATCTTCACCAACCCTCTATCTGACAGAGGGCTAATATCCAGTATATATAAAGAACTCAAGAAGAAGAAGAAGTTAAACAGCAACAAATCAAGGAATCCAATTAAAAAATGAGGTAAAGAGCTAAACAGAGAATTCTCAATAGAGTAATATGAATTGGCCAAAAAGAAAAGAAAAGATAACAAAACAACAACAACAACAACAAAAAACAGTTAAAAAATTGCTCAATGTCATTATTCTTCAGGAAAATGCAAATCAAAATGACCCGGAGATTTCATCTTACACCGTTTAGAAAAGCTAAGATCAAAAACTCAGTGATAACACGTGATGGAGAGGTTATGGAGAAAGGGGAACCCTCTTCCTCTGCTGGTGGGAATGTAAGCTTTTATAACCACTCTGGAAATCAATATGGTGCTTTCTCAGACAATTACAAATAGCACTCAAGATCCAGCCATACAACTCTTAGGCATATATCCAAAAGATTCTCAAGTACACAATAAGGACATTTACTCAACCATGTTTGTAGCAGCTTTATTTGTAATAGCCAGAAGCTAGAAACAGCCCAGATGCCCCTCAGTTGAGGAATGCATACAGAAATTGTGGTACATCTACACAATGGAATATTACTCAGCAATAAGAAACAAGGAAATCATGAAATTTGTAGGTAAATGGTGGGATATAGAAAAGATCATGCTGAGTGAGTTATCCCAGAAGCAGAAAGACAGGATACATACTCACTCATAATTGGACATTAGACATACAATATAGGATAAGCCTACTAAAATCTGTACATATAAAGAAACTAATCAAGAAGGAGGACTCTGGCTAAAATGCTCAATCCCCATTCAGAAATGCAAAGAGGATGGACACCAGAAAAAGGAGAAAACAGGGAACAGAAGAAGAGCCTGCCACAGAGGGCCTTTGAAAGGCTCTATCCTAAAGGGTGTCAGGGCAGATGCTGAGAGTTATGGCCAACCTTTGGGCAGAGTGCAGGGAATCTTATGAAAGAAGTAATAATAGTAAGACCTGGAGAGGACAGGAGCTCTACAAGGAGAGCAACAGAAACAAAAAATCTGGGCACAGGGTTCTTTTATGAGATTGATACTCCAAAAAAGAACCATTCGTGGAGATAATCTAGAACCCCTGCACAGATGTAGCTCTTGGCAGTTCAGTGTCCAAGTGGATTCCATAGTAATGGGAACAGGGACTGTCTCTGACATGAAATGATTGGCTTGTTCTTTGATCACCTCTCCCTGAGGGAGGAGTAGTCTTACCATTCCACAGAGGAAGACAATGCAGCCATTCCTGTTGAGACCTGATTGACTAGGATCAGAGGAAGATGAGGAAGAATTCCCTTATCAGTGGACTGGGGGAGGGGCATGGTGGAGAAAGGAGAAGGAGTTGGGATTGGGAGGGGAGGAGAGAGGGATCTCCATGGGAAATACAAAGTGAATAAATTGTAATTAATAAAAATAAAAATTTAAAAAAATCTAGGTTTTCCAGAGAATTTGGTAGAAGAGTTGATTAGCTATCAACCCAGACTGAGAAGCACCTTTATTCTGCACACTGATTGTTCTGTGCTACTTGGACATCAAGGCCATTGTTTCTTTATGTTGAGTTCTTTGTAGTTTTTGTTAAAATTCCACTATGATTTATTGAAATGTTTCAAAAATTTGTTGTCAAATCTATTACTCTTTTCCTTTAATATTTCAATTAACATTTGAGAGCAATTCTTTCAAATCCTCATTCACAGTTTGTTTTTAAAAATAATCCCTGACTTGTGGTTTCTTTAAATTTAAAGTTAAGTTTAAAATATAACTTAATTTTCTTTCATGGAATGTTTTGGGATTTTCTTTTCCCTCAATTATTTAACAATCATTGGTTAAATACATCTTCCTTCCTCTCTGGCTTGAAATTCAACTTTCTGCAGTTTAGAAATTGTAACATGCAGTCTGTTTATTTCTAATTCTCATTGGTTTGATGGTAATTAAACCCACCATTCTTGTATTCATGACTGAACTTCAACTAATTTTTTTTCTGTGCATCAGTTCAAGTAATTTTGCTTTTTTGTCCACTTTATTATGGCTGGCCATGTCAGGATGTCTTTAAAAGAAGTGATAACAGCTGGACTAAGGTGGCAACAGTGATTAGACAGGACAAGGTCAAAAAAGTGGCCTTGAGGACTGTCATCCACAGAGCTTGAGGGGATTGGAGGCTGTGGAACATGGCTGTTCACACATGACTTTAAGCCTTTTGGCATGGCACTGTTAAAGATGGTGGAGTTATTAACTGTATGATTGAGAATATGGGAGAAAGAGGTTCGGAGATACAGGAAGGGTCCCTGTGTGTAAAGCAGAAGCAGGGACAAAGTGAGTAAGTACAAACATCTGATGATATAGTAGAATTTTCCACCTTTGACTACAAGGATAGAAATTTGAGTTAGAAGTTAAAGACACCCAGTGAAATCCAGCACTGATTACATACCAAATAAAATTTACTGTGGCACTGACTCTAATAAATGTATGAGTTTTCAAGAGTCATCCCTTTCCATATTTTAAAGCCGTATGAAATATGCCACTAGGCTATAAACAGTGTTTGCAGTCAACTGAGAGGCCCAGAGTTAGGTGAGAAGGAGACAGGAGACAGATATATCAAGCTTGGGAGATTTAGTGGACAAAATGGTTCAAGTGATTACGTAGAAGTCACTAGCAAAAAATAAACATTTGGTGTATTTCCTCATTAACCCTAGTTTTGTCTAGAATGAAGGTCAACAAACTGTTACAAGGCCAAACGTGACTGCGAAGAGCAGAAGGAGTTCGGTAGGCTCTCCACTGTGATCAGGCACCGAGCCCAGGACCCAGGCTCTGAGGAGTGTGAGCAGCTCTTCAGTATGATTCAACTCTACCAACTTCAACCAACCTTCCTTTATTTACCGAAGAAACATAGATAGTCTTACTTCAGATTGTATGTGTATCCTCTAAAATGCTGCTTGAATTAGTACCAAGAATAGAAAGCACTAAGAAAAAAAAAAAACCTCCATCACAACAAAAACCTTGCTGTAAGCCAGATGTGGCGACAGATGCCTGCAAGGGCAGAACAGAGGCGAGGAGCATTGGCATGGGTTTTAAAGGAGTCTTGTTTCTAAGCACTGCTGCTCTACTTTCCTTCCCCAGTGCAGAGGCCAGAATGTTCCCATCAACTTACGATGTTAATCCCTGAGTCACTTGTACAGCACCCTCCCCCACCTTCCTCTAAGGTTCAGCAAAAATTTTAATGTGGAAAAGATGAAAAGTGGTTTCCATACCTCTTCAGAGTATCAGGTTTCTAAAACCAGCTGACGCCAGCTTCTTTTGTGACCAAGTTTAATATAAAGGCACCAAGAGTATGCAAATAAAGCACAAAGCTAAACTTTAGATGCAGAGGGGTAATGATATAGTGCCATTTTAAAGGTAAGACATCGCTCCTGCATTCTGGCCATGTCCGGTGGTCACGCCACAGGCCACTCTGTTTCCTCACAGACTTGCCACTGCTGGGACTTACAGGTGCCAGCAGCTTGCCAACCTCATTACTTTGGGTACTGTCAGTTCAGACATGCATACCCCACCCCCACATGGTTCTGCTTCAGAGTCAGAAGGAAATGAAGCCACAAGGAGAACAAAAAGCTTTACCCGACGGTCTCCTTCCTATTCTCTCTCTCTTCCCCTGCTCTAGTTGTCCTTCTGTGCCTGGCTTCATTGTGACCTCCTCCCTGCCAGGTAGAAACTGAAGAACAGCCCCTGCAGACAAGTACCTCCACACCTGAGGCTGTTCTACCCTGATTTGGCTCCCCTTTCATGTTCTGCCTGCCTGAGGGAGGAATTATGAGCAAAGACAGCAACTGCCAACAATTGACAGCCAGGAGCCAGAAGATCTTGTAAGAATCAGATCTCTACACCACCCAAGACAAAACAATGGCTTTATCGCTGGAAGACTTTGTCCACTCCCTTGACCTAAGGACGCTTCCAAGGGTCGTAGAGATCCAGTCAGGCATCTACTTTGAAGGTAAGTGTTTCTCTAAGTCTTTAACTTGGTGGAATGTTTGTTTATAAAGTCTCTTGGAAATTTGTTGGTGGGAGACACGTTAATAAAGAACATGTGAAAGGCAGTGTGTATAGCTCAGTGTTATGATACTTACGCTCAAGCCTCAGCATACCGGGAAACACAAATCTGAGTTGTCTGAAGGAGAGGTGAGTACACACACACACACACACACACACACACACACACACACACACACACACA